CAAAAACGTATCACCCTGTAGATTTTCAAAATCTTTTAATAGCTTGAAATGATGACCTTCTAGGAAGTATTGACCACACCAAATTTCACAATAATATCTTGAAAAGTAAGCGATATATTCCAATTAATAGAAAAGAATAATTAAACTTTGACCCCCTGTAGCTCCGCTACTGAATGAGATCGGAATAATGTTTATATAAACTTTTTTGATTAAATTGATGAGATCTATCTCCCATTTTAGTGTGTGCCTTAAAATCTGAATCTCGCTATGTGATTATAATTTCCACCTGTGATGACCTTAAATTTTGAAGATTTCATCCAATAACAATGCGTCATGCTACCCAGTCATTAGGTATTATACCGACAATTTGAATCATGTATAAAAAATTCCATATAATTATACCGCGTTATCATGACAATGAAAAAAATCCATAGCATTTGAGAGCACAGCAACCAAAATTGTGAAAGAATCTTTGATGGCGTTTATGTCAACTTTGTCCAATCTTGCGTTGTCAGAAAAGTATTCAATCTGTGGAAATGTCGCGAGTTGGAGAAATTGTGAAACCATCAAGAATAATGTGATTTACGATGGGGGAGACCACTGATATTTTAAAATGACATTATCGTGAACTCTATACTGAAAAACTACCAGCGAATTAATTTTGAATTTTGTCATTCATGCTAAGACGATGGAAAAAATAAATTAGAATATGTCCATTTCAAAACACACAATTCCTGTGCCATTTGAAATTTTGTCAATTCATTGGTGTGACTAGTTCGACGTCTTATTCCCAACACACCTATTGTCCTTGAACTGACCACCAATCACACTGCAGAATGACGAGGTATCAGAGAGAGATAGCTACAGTTCGGGACTAATACGTCACGACTCCACCATCATATTTGGCTGTTTGAAATATCGAATGAAATATGCTGATTTCAAAACGATATAGATTCGATTCCCTTCAACTTTAACTCATAATATTGATTGTACATCAAACGTAAATCATGTTTCGTCGATTGAAAGAGGTTTGAACGGATTTCTTCTCTCAGTGGTCTTCCCCATTCAACAATGTTTTTTTTGGTCGAAGTAAATTTGATATTTATGTACTGTGTAGGTCAGTGTAGGTTAATCGAGGAGGTGATACATTCATTATTCCAGATTTTATGGGATTTTCTCTCCTCGTTTTTATGAAATAAAAATATCAATATCATTTCAATATACGTGTAGTAAGGACAAATCAGATGATTTGCCCCAAAATTTCACTGCGTTTAAAGAATTTTCCTATCAGAGAGCCTAAAAGAAAAATTCACCAGCTTGTCAGTGACAATTTGTATTGAGAAGAGAAATAAAGGTATATAGGAGAAATATCAAATTTCCACTTAGCTTTGCACGTTTTGGAAACTAATATGCTCCTGTTTTCAACATTTAAAATGGACATTTGAATAGCAAATTCGTATTCGTCTTGACATTTTTCAGTTCTCAGTAACAATTGGTGACGTTGGCAATCTAATGAGTTACAGGATGTTTTCATCAATCAATCTGGAATTTACCATTTTCATCTTCAGAATTCAGTAGTGGATACCATGTTCCATTCAAATTTGATATTTTTTCTATATACCTACCTTTATTTCTCTGCTCCAAACCTTTTTCAATACAAATTGTCACTGAAAGTTAGTGAATTTTTCTTTTAGGCTCTCTGATAGGAAAAGTCTTTAACCGCAGTGACTTTTGGGGCAAATCATCTGATTGAAATAATATTCATATTTTTCTTATACAGTCTCATTCATAAAGTCGGCATCATATGAAAAAAACTTTCCTTAATGACTTATTTTGAATTTTGAGTTGGACGTTAAGTTTTGCTTCAAAAAATATGAGAAATGGCCTACTCAATCGGGGTCACGTGACTTTCCCTACATGTCAAAAGTGACATTTTTTCAAATTAATCGCTGAAAGTAGGCTTATTTGTTCGAATATCGGAAAAGTTTACTTCGAAAATTTGTTTCTATTTGAATTTTACATATGTGACTCGGATTTTATCTTTCTATTACATTTTTTAGATTTCGATATTTTTTAGAAATTTTCGAAATTTCTGTAATATTGAAAAAAATTTGAATTCGATAAAACTACTTCATACCAGTAGATTCTTCATGCTACTAACTTTCAATTACTAATTATCACTAATTATCGACAAAAATATGATTTTCTCCAGAAAATGATAATCTCCGCTTCAAAATTCTGTTAAGTGTGATGCAAACATAACATCAAAATTCTGTTATGTTTGAGTCAAGAATTTAGAAACGACATTCTTTAAATTTATTTTTTCAGTACTGAAAAGATCAGTTCAAATGAATTTCGTTTCTGAATGCTTGACGATATATCAACTTTGCATCACACTTAACATAATTTTGAAGCGGAGATTATCATTTTCTGAAGAAAATCATATTTCTGTCCATAATCAGTGATAATAAGTAATTGAAAGTAAGTAGCATGAAAAAGCTACTGGTATGAAGTAGTTTCGTGGAATTAACAATTCTTCAAATATTACAGAAATTTCGAAAAATTTAAAAAAAATCAAAATCTGAAAGTTGCAATAGAAATATCAAATTCGAGAAGCATGTGTAAAATTGAGATTGAAACAACTTTTTCAAGTAAACTTTTTCGATATTCGAACAAATAAGCCTACTTTCAGCGATTAATTTGGAAAAATGTCACTTTTGACATGTAGCGAAAGTCACGTGACCCCGATTGAGTAGGCCATTTTTCATCTTTTTTGAAGCAAAACTCAACGTCCAACTCGAATTCCAAAATAAGTCATTAATAAAAGTTTTTCCCATATGATGCCGACTTTATGAATTACACTGTAGAAACGAGGAGAGAAAATCCCAAAAAATCTGGAATAATGAATGTACCACCTCCTCGATTAACCTACAGACATTATTTTCTTAATACAACTAGTTTTTCAAATTTCAACAGATAATTTTTAATTTTCTATGACCAGAGTGACATACTGCGTGTCTGTGTATCGTGCTTTATACTATATATAGTTCATTCCTGATGAAGTCATGCTTATGAAAAAAAATTAAGGGAATCAAGGAAAGCTTGCCAATGGGCAGGATGAAATGGTTGATTGTTACTAGGAATTGTTACAAGGCACTATATAGTACAAATACAGTGTGAGACAGATTGAAAGTGTTTCATTATTTTCATCCGCAATTACATTACTTCCCTCCGTACCATAAAAAAAAATTTAAAGGAATGTTCATAAAAAACTTTCATCAAATAGAAGAATAATAAACTACTAAAATAGTACATTATACATCAAGGGGCAGAAATGCAAGATTTTTTCCAAGGTGCGATTTGTACTCAAAGCACCAAGGGAAAAATAGCATTCTGTCCTGAGGTGTACAGTGTGTCCCACTTACCATGCTCACCATGGGTATCTTTTAAACGGTGAGAGATACGAGGTCGGTTAAATGACACCAAATGTGGGGTTTGTCAAGGCCAACTATAATGTGAAAAAATATTTTGATAAAATCTATTCGTTTTTGTTTTATAGGCAAAAAAACAGATTTTGATCATTTTCATGTCTCCTCCGTAACCTATTTATTTATGAAAATATTCAAATAGAAATTTCACATCCTCATAGCAGTTTTTCAACGTGATTTCGAAAAAAATATGAAATTAATACTCACTCTTCTAGAATTTGAGATATCAGCACCAACTTTAGTTTTTCAAATGTAGGTCATAGCTCACTAAGACTTAGTTACAAATAACTCTTTTTTCTCTTACAGATGATATGTCGCAGTAATAGTTTTGTGTTGATAACAAGGGAGTTATCGTCATTTATCAAAAAAAAATTATTTGGAAGCCGCTATCTTGAATTTATAAATTTTAACGAAAAAATCATGATCTCCGACCTCAAAAACCCCCACTTACCAATTTTGAATGGAATCGGACCAAATCTTGTCCGCCATCTTAGCAGCCCTTTTTTTTAATTTCAACAAAAATTCCATAACTCCGATTAACTCGAAATTTGGCAGGTGTTCATAATTTCGGTGACAATATATTATGGAATTTTTGTTGAAATTAAAAAAATGGGCTGCTCCAAGATGGCGGACAAGATTTGGTCCGATTCCATTCAAAATTGGTAAGTGGGGGTTTTTGAGGTCGGAGATCATGATTTTTTTGTTAAAATTTATAAATTCAAGATGGCGGCTCCAAAATAATTTTTTATTTTTGTATAAATATACTGCACGCTAGCACAAACCACGCCCACCATAATACGTCATATCTCCAAACATTACCGATATACTCGGAGTCAGCACATCGCACTAAATATACTGTGCTCCAACGCAAGAATAAACTTTTTATGATTTTGACACGAATTCGACTGAAGCTCTCTCGTTGTCAATCTCTTGTACGCATTAAATTCATACACCCAAATGGTCTACTGGTTAGCGCTGTCGACTTTCAGTCTGAAGGTCCATGGTTCGAATCGCTGTGAACTTGAACTTTTTTTTGCAACTTTTTTTTTCACCAATGTTTCTTTACTTCATTCTGGTTTTCCTTTTTCATAAAATATTTGAAGTCAAATAGGTTGGTGCGTTTAGGATAAACAGTCTCATTTTATTCAATTTTGTTGAAGAACTCAACTTTTGAAATATATTATTAATCAATGTGTTTCTACACTCCATTCGGGTTTCCTTCCTCAAAAATATTGCAATCAGGGATAGGTTAGTTCGTTAAGGATAAATAGTCTCTGAGTTTTGCCTAAGTACTTCGAAGATGAGATATTACGGTGGGCGTGGTTTGTGCTAGCGTACAGTATATTTAGTAAAATCGCCACCCGGTATACACATTTAAATTGAATTCACGCATTTGTGTCTTTGCCTATTTCATGACATGAATGCAAAATATTCATAAAACAGTGTTGATTTCTTTTTTTGAATAGGAAAAAGAGTTGGTAGGGAATGAAAAAACCAGTTGAAAAAAATCGTTTAGTGCGTACAAGCATCTTTAAAATTGGTAACATTCAACGCAGTAAAATAATCGTCATGCAAAAACCGAACAATATCCTCGATTTTGCACAAACCCACCCGACTATTAACATTAACAAAATTTTTACAAAAACTAATCTGCCTGGTAACATCTCTGCCATTGGTCAGCAGCCTGAAAAAAATACCTTTGACCTCGTTCGATTCTTCTACTTCTTGATAGACCTCGAACACCATTCGGGCTGCATAGCGCAGCAAAAAAGGGTCGCTCTGCAGCCCTAGGGCTGCCGTGAGCTGTTCCAGGGTGTGGTCGTGTCCCGAATAGAGGACTAAGTAGGGACCGCTATTGGACACCTAAAATACAGGGCTATTCAAATTCAAATCTATGCATGGGGATTCAGAAGTCAATTATATGGATAAAAACATCTGATTTAGCTTCTTCAGTTCCGCAGTTATACAGGTATAAATTAAAAGTAAAAAAAAAATTGATGAAAAGCTTTTATTTAAACGCTTTAAAAAGAATAAAATGAAATGTTCCTTTATAATTTCAACTATCAACTTATAACCTCATGATACACAATTTATACGATCATGAAAGCTTGTCGCGATGATCAATATTTAATTCAATTGAAATTTTAAAATTAAAAGGACCCCGCACTTTTAGTACGTAAAATGGTTCTCGGTGAAATTTTCTGAATTTTCAGTATGTTGTAGAATTCGACGAACTGATTGAACCTGCAGAATCGTAAAGTTCTTTGATGAACAGATTCTGAGATACAGGGCGTTGAAGTTACAAATCGGTATTTTTCATTTAATTATTTTCTCGAAATTCAAAGATGCCAAGTACAATTTTCTTCGCTCATATCATTAACGAACCTCCATATTACTCAACATAATTCAGATGGTTCAGATGATGTAATTGTTTACAGAGTGAAACATATAAACATTTCAGTGATGTCTGAAAATTCGATGTAATAATGAAATATCGAAAAAATAATTAAGGTACGCAATATACTATTCTCATTCCATCATGAATCACAATTCATACATTTCATACAGGGTGATTTGAAAAATTGGTGACACCTAAGACCGATTTATTCGTACACATCCTGTATATTCGAGTGAATTGTTAACCTTCCAAGATAGCTGATACCGTATGAACATGATTTCGTTGAGATATATAGGGTGATCATGAAGATTTTCGATGATGAAAATGACAAAAAATCGTGTTTTTTGAAATCACCCTGTTATTCATGATTAACTCGGTGAAATTCCCTAATTATTTTTTAATATATTCATCATTCGCTCCTCAACGCTGTCTTGAAAATTCAGTTTTCTATCATGACGGGTGTCATAGTTATTAATTCAGGAACTTACCATTTGCATGAAGAGTTGAAGAGACTTGTTCACTTACATTCCTTACATTTTCCGAGTTACTCTCATCGAGCCCTTACATTCGATACCCATATTGTAGAAGTGAATTGAAAATATCAATTTCGCCATCTTGGATAGTCCGCCATATTGGATTTATAATGACGTCACATTATTTTTCGAGTTATTTTCAACAATCCCTTTCACTTGATACCCATATTGTAGAAGTGCATTGAAAATAACTATTACGCCGTCCTCGATGTTCCGCCATGTTTGATTTAAAATGACGTCACATTAATTTTCGAGTTACTCTCAACAAGTCCTTTCATTTGATACCCATATTGTGGGAGTGCATTGAAAATAACTATCTCGCCATTTTGGATGGTCCGCCATATTGAATTCAGAATGACGTCACACTATTTTTCGAGTTACTCCCAACGAGCCCTTTCATTTGATACCAATATTGTAGAAGTGCATTCAAAACAACTATTCCGCCATCTTGGATGGTCCGCCATATTGGATTTATAATAACTAAACGTGTATACAAAATCTCAGTTCACTTACATACATCCATACATTGCAAGTTAAATAAAAGCTATTAAAAAAATAGAAAATTTCGAAATTATTCTTCTCTTTTTTTATACGAAGATTATTTCAAAATTTTGACACTTTTCCATAACAACTTTTTGTAACCTATCCAAATATCTGATAACATGTATATACAGAGTAATCTTATAAAGTTGACCACTCTCAACTTTGAATTTTCATTTACGGACCTGTATTTTTCATTGCATTTTTTTTAACCTGACTCTTGGACAGGTCTGTATTCGAAAATTAAAAGTTTGGGTATCCCAATTTATACGATACCTTGTATATACATTTTGTTCAGATATTTGGGAAGGCTAAAAAAATTTGCTATGGCAAACTGGCAACATTTTAAGAAAATGTTCGTAAAATAATAACATAGGCAAATGAAGAATTGCGAAATTTTCGTTTTCTCCTGTATAACTCCAGAACTAAAGAAGCTAGATCAGATTTTTTTATTCATAAAATTGACCTCTGATACGCAACTTTACTCCCATTCAACCATCCCGCTATCTGTTACCGTTATCGAAATCTCAATGCATAGACGGTATCGACTATATTTTTACTCGAAGTTTTTGATTACAACAAAATTAATATGATGCACATTCGATGTTCTGAGACCGATTGGCCAGTGGCACCAGGATGATAAAAAAATCAATAGAATAGTTAATAAAACAGCGATTCTGTCCCACTTTTTTTTAATGTTCTGGTTCCCACGAAAAGGGATATCCTGTAATGTTCAGAGAACATCGTGAGAATCAAGAGAAATAAAGGTAGGAATTGGTGGAGGATATATGCCTCGGGGAACACCTCCCTTGGCAATGTGTTCCAGAGCCTCGCTGTTCGTTGGATGAACGTGTCTTTGGAAGGAGATGTTATGCAGGTCTCCAAAGTGACCACAAAAGGGTGCGAAGCCTCAACTCGACGGGTTAATCTCGCGGGGACTGCCAAGGAAGGAATAATTGTTGATATTTCAGAAGAGCATCGTCCATGAAAATATCTATAAAATAGGGCCAGATCGCCAACTTTTCTACGGTGTTCCAGAAAAGTGAGTGAGCTTTCGAACGAAGCATCACCCCCGAGACTAATTGCCCTTTTTTGGACAGAATCCAACAGTTTCAGAGTATGTTTGGGTGCTGCACTCCAAATATGGGAACGGTATTCCAGGACTGGTCGGATCTGTGCCTTATAGGTCATAAGCAGCTGACTGGGTGTGAAATAGCTCCTGACCCGAAACAGAAAACCAAGTTTTTGGGATGCACTTTTAACAATTGATCTCACGTGATTTTCCCAAGGAAGGTTTTCGCTGATAGTGATACCAAGCATCGAAATGGATGTCTTCAAAGGTATGGTTAATTCTGACAAGCTTATGTTGGGCACAGTGAGATCGGCTTTTCTAGAGATTTGCCTGGCTGGTATTGGAGCCCTGGAAGAGAATGCGGTATGGAGGGTACTATCATCTGCGAAGCTGTGTACTGGACATAAAGTTGCTTCCAACTAAAATCGTTGATATGGAGTAGAAATAGTGTTGGTGCTAGAATTGATCCTTGCGGAACACCAGCATTTATGATTAGAGAGTCAGATGAAACTCCGTCGACCATTACATGGTGAGACATGTTTGAGAGAAAACTAGCTAGCAGAGAACATAGCTGGGGAGGCAAGCCATAAGATGGAAGCTTGGCGAGGAGTCCGTGGTGCCAGACTCGATCGAATGCCTTGGAGATATCAAGTGCCACGGCTAAATTTTCACCATATTTTCAATAGATTTGGAGAAAAGAAATAAAGGTTGTAAAAGATCTCTTATCTCGCTCAGGGTTGGGGTACGCCGGAAAGGGGTAGTGTGGCAGGAAATGGTACTTGGTAAAAACAATACTCAATCCTGTTCAGTTACAGCGTGCTATATTCTTCACCAAACAGTTACTTTGTCCGACAGTGTACACCAAGATTCTAAAATAAAATGAATGTGAAGGTAAACTCTGACCTCTGATTGTTTCACTTCCCTAATCCCAAAACAGACATCACATGACTTGTTACAAATGGACTACGTGCCGAAACTCTTACTAAATAATATATACGGATATCAACATTATAATAATCAAAAATAGAACCCGGAATTGTACATAAATAAATGGCTTACCTAAAATAAAATGCGGGTGCAAGTTCCAAGGAATTCTTGGGCTATGAACCCCTAGCTATTTCACTGGAATCGGTGTCACATTAGATATATTCGATAATGCACTGCAAAACTCTAGAGATCTCCCGAAATCCACTCACAGCGATAATCCTAAATCCTAGCAAAAACCTGGTTTTGGAAATAGGCGCAAAAACCATCTACTGAAAGAGGTACAAGCAGCGGCATCAGGTGGCCTTACGCATAGGCACCGAATCGAACCCACAGTGCACTGCACAATACAGGCGATACCATGAAACGACGTATTTTGGTAGGCCCGCATACCTATAGATTGCGTTAGGTGGTTTATTACCTTCCTAGCAGCAAAGACTGAATGGTGAGAAATTCGCAAAATATAAAAATAACAAGCACATACACACGTTAGATTCAATGGCTCAATGGACATAAGGTGCGATCTGCTACAAGGTATATACAAAAACTATCAAATTTTCACTTATCTTTGGACGTTTGGGGAACGAATCTGCTCCCGTGATCAACATAAAAAATTGATTTTTTGTATTGCAAATTCGTATTCGTCCTGACTCTTGTCAGTTCTCAGTGACAATTGGTGACGTTGGCAATCAAATGAGTTACAGAATGTTTTCTAATTTTAAATTTACCATTGTCATTTGCAGATTTCAGTAGTGAATACCATGTTCTATCTATATCAACTGAACAAAAAGCAATGCTATTGTCTCCGTTCAGAAGAATGCAAGCAAATTCCTTCATTTTTCTCTTCTGGTTGTTATCTTCTTCTTTTCCAATGATTTTAATATTATTCCATTATTTTAACATAAATATAATATAAAGAAAAGACACATCGACAAAGCGAAACTAGCTGAACATATCTTCACTGAAGATGGACAAGATGAGGCAGAGTGGAATAATATTAAAATGATTGGAAAAGAAGATAACACCAATTGTCACTGAGAACTGAAAAGTGTCAGGACAAATACGAATTTGCGATACAAAAAATCCATTTTTTATGTTGAAAACGGGAGATTCGTTCCCGATACGTCCAAAAATAAGTAAAAATTTGATACTTTTTCTATATACCTTTATTTATCTTCTCTAAACCTTTTTCAATACAAATTGTCACTGATAAGCTAGTGAATTTTTCTTTCAGGCACTCTGATAGGAAAATTCTTCAAACGCAGCGACATTTTGAGGGAAATCATCTGATTTGTCCTTACTACACGTATATTGAAGTATTATCCATATTTTTATTTTATAGAAACGAGAGAAAATACCAAAAAATCTGGAATAATTATTGTATCCCCTCCTCGATTAGCCTACAGACAGAAGTTAAAGATCAAACAAACCAATGCTTCCAACATCTCGAATATGATGAACTGAACAAATGAAATAATTTGAAGTCCTAAAATGTTCATCATTAGTGGCCAGGTAGCCGTGCGGACAGAGTGTCTATATTCTAATTCGCATTCGCTTGCCGGTCGTGGGTTCGATCCCCGTCGACTGCAGAAATTTTTCTGATGGCCCAAGAAAGTGTTTGGGATCACACGTTAAAAGGTAAGTTCCTCGTCATTCCTTACTCGCACAAGACTTTCGAAGACTTTTGAGGGTTGCTCGTAAGGGGGCAACCGAATGACGGATAGAACAAATTTTAGAACAAATTTTTTTTTAGAACAAATTCCTGATACTCAAAGAAAATTGTTATTATTCTTCAAAGGGTTCAAAGAATGAAAAACAGTCAGTGAAATAACGTACCATATGCAACATTTGTTGAACAATGTGTCTCATCAAACCATATGATTTGAGCAGGCAGTATCTCTTCCACGAAGAATTCCTCCATTTCCTATAGTTGACCCAGTCCGTGTATGAGAAAATTCCAACCACATTTTGTCTTCTAAAATGAGACAAAAACGATGTTCAACTCATAACCTTACCAATTGAACATAATTTCACAAAAACATTGAAAATAAGTTTTTCTATTACATGAACTAAAAGGGTAGGTAATACAATTGTTTTTCTGAGCGACATGTGTGTTACTATCAGTAAGTAAAAGCACCAAGAACTTGTTTCTCGAAAAGTTTCTTTATTGATTACTAGCAAACCTCGCAAACGTTGATTTGCTATATACAATATTTCAATAATATATTTTTTCTCCGATTGGCAGCAAATATTAATTTTGCTGACACATATCAATCAGCAAAGTATTACTTTTCCTGCCTAGGCAGCAAAGTGGGTACTTTGCTGATTGATATGTATCAGCAAAATTAATAATCCATAAATCGTTTATAATTTCCTTCATATTTCATTCGAGACTTCTCCGGCAACAAATTCAACTCCACCTCCCTTATTTCTGGAGGTGTGAGTACTTCCAGGTTGCTATCACTGTCCATTATATAATAATTTGAATATATCGATATTTTTTCGCACAACTGTCAGAATTTTCATGAATTGTCAAACTATAATTATCATGGACAACTGCGATTTCTATCAAATTTCATTTTGATTGAACACTACAGGAAAAATAATAGTAGAAGATCCGAACCTAAATCGACCTTCACCGAGCTGATAATAGAACGAAATATATTTTATCATGAATTTAGTATATTAGAAAACATATTAAAAATGGGTTGGCTAAAAAAATCCTGGGCAGACTATTTTTAATTATTTTTCGAAAAATTATTTTTAATTAAATGTTGCAACATCAGGATAATAAAAAAATTGTGTCCTGACTGAAAGTATAAAACGTATAGAATGTGCAGCCGTTGGGTTGTCTACTATTTACCTGGGCGAACTACTGGGTTGTCAGGTGAACACAGGTATAGCGATGCCAGTTACTTTCACTGGATTGGATAATTAAAAAAAATTTATATCATCATAAGCGCTGTTTAATTGCGAACACGTTGATATAGGGTTGTCTGCGAAAATTCCGGTCCTATTAGGGGTTTGCGAATTTTAAAGATTTTAATTTCAACGCGCGTGGAAGTGTGTGACAGAGAGATCCGAGGTAAGTATACTGTGTAATAATAAAGGACCCAACATCGCAGTCGCTTGTGATGGGACCCTGAATAGTAGAAAGTGCGCATGCTCGGTGTGTAAACTATGGAGGGTAGAGGTACCTCTACTACCCTTCATATAGTAAACAGTGCGTGTTATTTTGGAGCAACTGATATTTCAGTAGCAAAAAAAAAATTAATTAATTACATAATAATTAAATATATTTGATATAATACTAATATATAAAAACAATATAATATCAATATATTGCGTTATAAGCATAATGATATATCTATAATCTATAATAGACAATAAAAATATCAAATACTTACTTTGAAATTTTTTTGCTCTTTCTGGAAATAGAAACAAAGTGGACCGCCAAAAATTTAAATCAAGAAATAACAAAAAAGATAGACTAGACATCTTGTATTACGATTTAAAATTTTATTAAAAAACAGTATAAATACAAAAATAATATTAATGAAAAATAAATTCTAATAAATATTTTCTATTCAATATCTGATTCATCAGAAGTATCATTTTGACTCTCGAATTCGTCTGATTCATTAGATTCTTCCTCATTTGCTTCCATTTCGACAATGTCCTGGATTTTCAAAGGAGTTTGATCTCCGATAAAACCTGTTGGTTTTAAGAAATCATCAAAATGCCAACCATAGTTTTCAGGATTTGACTTCGCACACTTCGCACACTTTCTACTATTCAGGGTCCCATCACAAGCGACTGCGATGTTGGGTCCTTTATTATTACATAGTATACTTACCTCGGATCTCTCTGTCACACACTTCCACGCGCGTTGAAATTAAAATCTTTAAAATTCGCAAACCCCTAATAGGACTAGAATTTTCGCAGACAACCCTATATCAACGTGTTCGCAATTAAACAGCGCTTATGATGATATACATTTTTTTTAATTATCCAATCCAGTGAAAGTAACTGGCATCGATATACCTGTGTTTACCTGACAACCCAGTAGTTCGCCCAGGTAAATAGTAGACAACCCAACGGCTGCACATTCTATACGTTTTATACTTTCAGTCAGGACAATTTTTTTTTATTATCCTGATGTTGCAACATTTAATTAAAAATCATTTTTCGAAAAATAATTAAAAATAGTCCGCCCAGGATTTTTTTAGCGAACCCATTTTTAATATGTTTTTTAATATACTAAATTCATGATAAAATATATTTCGTTCTATTATCAGCTCGGTGAAGGTCGATTTAGGTTCGGATCTTAGACTATAAAGAGATTGTGGGAATTGTAATAATTTGCAATTACAATATCCTTCTATATCATTATGAACAATCGGAGAAAAAATTATATGTTCAACTCGGCAGCAAAGTAGACTATACTATACTATACTTTGCTGCCTATTTAAACAAATAACTATGTTCCGTTCAATATTCATCAAGACACTATATTCATTTTATTTTCTACTTGTTTTTAGTTTCGCTATCTATAAAAGCGTATTTCTTTAGTTTTTCAAAGTACCATTTATTTCAACTTCTTCTTAGTTCACTTGAATTTCCCAATTTTGACGAAAGAATCATAATATCCGACTCCTGAAGCCCCAGATGAAAATTTTTAATAGAAGCGGAACATAATTACAAAACTCGTCCGCAATATTGTATCTACCATCCTGAATTCCCTAATTTTGACGAAGGAATCATAATTTTTGATGCCGAAAACTCCCACTTAACAAATTCTGAATAGAATCGATATATGATTACAGAACTCGTCCGGTATATTGGTTCCACCGTCTTGAATTTCCAAATCCCGCCCTTTCCAAATTTTGACAGAAGAATCATAATCTCCGACCCCGAAATCACCCAGATAACAATTTTGAAGAGAGTCGGATCATAATTACAATACTCGTCCGCCATATTGGGTCCACCATCTTGAATTCCCTAATTTTTCCGAAAGAATCATAATCTCCGAACCCGAGAACCACCAGATACCAAAATTTGAATAAAATCTGTTCCTATTTACAAAATCCGCCATTTTGGATCCGCCATCTTGAATTCCTTAATTTTCACGAAGGAATCTTAATCCCCGATCACGAAAATCCCTAGGTACCAATTATGAAAGGAATCGGATTATAGTTACAGAACTAGTCCGCCATATTGGTTCCGCCATCTTGAATTTCCAAATTCCGCCCGAATTTTCAAATTCTGACGAAAGAAAACACGAAAAAACGAAAACACCGATATTTCAACCAATCAAAAACGTGTGTTTAGAAATGAGTGGAATAATCATTTCAACACAAGTTTTTTTTTATATGTTGCCGAGGAGCCTAGATAACAAATATTTTTGGGTAAATCGAGAAAAATAACGAAGGTAAGTGATATTAATAGTATATTATTTAACGAGCGGTAATGTAGGTCATAACTCACGCATATCATCAAGTGAGTTATGACCATTACCGCAAGTTGAATACTATACTTTATCTACGACTATTACAATAAATACTAAGTTACAAGTATAGAGAAAGAACTTTATTGACAAATCCTAATATACTTAATACAAATTTTAGTTTTAATCACTCATTTTGTTTATTGATAAAATTGACTGTGAAATTTGAACAACCAGTAAACTGAATATTGTACCAGAACCATACAGCACGCTACATTTTATTAAGTACTTGATACTGATCGTTTTCTGTATTATCATTCCTCTCTATTCTCACTAGTGGCTAATAGGTGTCAGCCTAGATACCATAATTTGCCTAATTCCCATAAATAATTTAACATCTTTTTTGTATTGAATACCGCAAAAACACCTACAGGTGTCTAGTAGATTCTTTGATCTGAGTGGTATCAATAAGGTTACTGATTCTGAAAGCCTCGTGGGGAATCTCCAATCTTTGAATTTCAAAGAGCAAAGTGTCCCTGGTTTTAGGTATGTATAATATTCATTATGTCAATATGGTATGTCGTATGTCGGCCTGAGATGTATGTGCCTCCAATTCACCTGAAAATCTGTACTTCATGTATATTTTCATTTTAGAGTGTAACCTTCAATACCAAACCTGTACAAACTTCAGTTATTATAATAAACGGAACTGGTAAAGCATCCTATAATCGATTGTTCCGAACCCCGTACCCCCTCAATATGTGGAACTGAATTATGAAAGTTTATTGTTTCTTTTTTTTGTTGCATATATGTTGTTGTTGTACTAACTGGTTGAGCTGTTATAGAACTGTATATTTTATTTGCAGTATCTGTCTTATTCTTTTCGGAATCATCAACGTACCCCTCAGCCACAGTAGTTGTTCGCCAACCGCCATGGCGTTTCAGTGCCCATTGATTCCCCCAGCATCTACTAGTAAAGATGCCGACGAGAAACGAAAACAATGCCCTGTATATAAATTACAGTCTCGTAATTTCAGAAATGTGGCAATGTCTTTCCCCATTGCTCCAAATTCATTAATGCCAATTCTTTGTGAGTGATATTTTCCATTTTGAAATTTAAAGATTAATATCGTTTGCGATATATCGGTAGGACGAAGATTTAAATACGCTCAGTTCCAAAAAAGTGACGCCCTTGATATTTGACCTATCTTCTTAAAACAAAAAAAAAAAACAAAAAATAGTAGGCCGATTTTTATTTTTTCTTTATTTGTTGGTAGGTAATGCATTTGTCTTTGAAAAAAAATTATGAGGTGGAAATGTTTTCAAAGCCTCCTTGATGGCGGTGGAATAACTCGAACCATAATTTATTCTTAATTTTTGACTCACCCTGTGTGTTAATTGAGTAATGGCATCGAAAGTGCTTACTACCTATACGAAAGAGGCTTCTTTTGCGAGCATTTTGTTTTTTTATTCATTGATTTATCTCTAAAATTTTCCGAATTACAGCTTTTTTTGCTGAATCCTTGCAGATTACCAACTTTCGGAATTTATTGAGAAACAATTTTCAAATGAAATGAACTGATACCACTAATTTAAAAAAACATTTTTATTAAACACAAAATTATAAATTGGGATGACTGCTTAATACCGTGAATTGCCTCCTCTAGCAACTCTAAGAACTTCTAATGTACGAGGCATACTGGAAATTAAGTTGCTTATCGTTTCCATTGGTATACGAAGCCATTCTTCCACTAATGCATCTGCCATTTCTGCGAGACTTTCCGGAGACCTCTCGCGAGAACGTACCCTTCTCCCTAATTCATCCCACAAATGTTCTATAGGATTCATATCGGGGCTTCTCGCAGGCCATTGTAATGTGGTAATACCAGTAGCTTCTAAGAAGTTACGCACTATTGCTGCGGTGTGTGGTCGAGCATTATCCTGCATCAATATAAAATTATTGCCCACTAACTCTGCATAAGGTAAGACATACTGCTCTAAAATGTCAATGTTAATTTGGGCATTCATCGACTGCCTCACTGGAAAAACATGAAGGGATGTCTTTCCATTCATTGAAATCCCTGCCCACACCATAACGGACCCACCATTAAAACTTTCGCATTCTGTTCTTGAATTTTGATTAAACCGTTCACCAGTTCTTCTCCACACTCTTTTTCTTCCATCCACCATGTTAAGGCAAAACCTTGACTCATCCGTAAACAAGACATTCGACCATTCAGGAATATTCCACTGTCCATAATTTTCAACAAAATTTCTTCTAGCAGCACGATGTTCGGGCAATAATTTGGGACCTTTTGCAGGTCTCCTAGTTTTCAAATCAATTTCTTTTAGACGTCTACATACCGTCTGCTTATTTACTGCAACATCACGAATTTGGCGAAGATCTTGCTGAACATTTACCGCAGTATTTGATCGATTCCGTAAAATCCGCAATCTCAAGAAGCGATCATCTCTTGGAGAAGTTTTTCGGGGGTGACCAGAACCGACCCTCCGAGCAGTGCTTCCTGTTTGTTCGTACTGTTGCTTCATGAACTCCCACTGCACGAGCTGCGTAACGTTTACTACGCTCATCGTTTACTAACGCAACTAATCTTGCTACTTGTTCAGGATTTATTTGAGGCAGTTTATGTAATTTTAGTCAATAAAACAAGACACTTAATTAATGACACAACGACAAATGGTCAAATATGGAGGCATACAACAAATCAGTTGCTATGGCAACGGCATTTGTTTTTTTATAGACAGATATTTCTCATCAGGAGTTTCGTTTATGAAATTATTAAGTTGTTCTGGCGTAAAAGTTTTCGCCTTTTTAGCTACATGTTTCTCTGATTGATTCCATTATTCAGGTTGAGTGTGCTTCTTAGCATGGAGTAGAATGTCCATAGAGACGATGCCTTATATTTAGTGCTAAGTTCACTAAAATATGCCAAAAGAACATTCTCTGTGAACGATGACTTAATGTTCTTACTGCTACACCAATCTTGAAAATTTTTGTATACACCTTCATATTTGTTTTAGGATTTTTCTGGCAATAGATTCTGTATGGTAACATTAGCTAATTGTCTCATTTCTGGAGGTGTACATGATAATCCAACTTCACTATCTGAATTCATCTTTTTCAGCAAAAAAATCACAATAATTGTATCAACTTAATTTGAAAACGTCAAAATTATTCAATTGACATCACTCCCCTCAATAACAATAATGGACTGTTCCCTTTCGGCCAACTGGCTTGTACAGAAATACTGAGCCATCTTGATTTTCGGTTCGTAAATAATTCCGAGAGCCTTTCCCGATGTAAGTATTATTCGCGAGATTCACGAAGTGGGCGACATCTAGGTTACCTAATACGAACTTCAAACTGGGGGAAAACAAACTGTTGTCTATGGATAAAGTGCATAGACTACATTGCATTCAGCTTGCTGTAGCTATAGTCAAACTTTTCAATAACATAAAGTGTTGGCACTGTTGGTAGTGATGATGATGGAGTTGGTTAATTTTTTTACATTATTACATTTTTATTAGTTTAGTGAACAGTGAACGGGTGAAGAATTGGAGATAGTTCAAACAATTCAAACTTATTATGACGAGCAAATGAATTGACATATGAAAGAACAGCTAACAATACCCAGATTGTCCTGATCTGCAGGAACAAATACAAATCCATTGTTCTACAGGAGTTCCTCTGGACCCCTAACTTCAATTTTACTTCATGTGGGGAAGATTTCATCGCCGAAGTTTGTAGACAAAGTGCAAAAATGTGCCTTTTGTTGAAGTCTTCTGCCTCACACAAAATCACATGATTTGCACGGAGAACTGCTTCTCCTTCCACTACTGATGGTCGGCTTTTTTCATCTAAATAGAGCAAAATATCTGCCAAAAGAACATCTACAACAGGCATTTTAGCGTTTTCGATCGAATATTGACAATTAATGTCAAGAAATTTAAAAACTTATCACTCTTATCAGTACACAGTACACAAACTAATAGCACTAAGTAATGGGATTGAGTGAGGATTGAGTTTGTTTTCCCCCAGTTTTGACGTGGGGCTTTGACATGGAACGATGAAAAGTTGTACCTACTGATTCCCTGAAGTCCCAAGAGCAAGATTTATTTCGTCGGCAGCAAGATATGCAGATACGAACGTGATGTTGAGTGTGAGAAACTAAAAGTGACCAAACACCAATCTGAAATATATATATTTAGCAAATATATATGTAATTGTTGGCAAACTTGTTAATGGATCATCAATTCATTTCCTCCCAAATCAATCCATCCTACCAGTTCTGCTCATTATTTCCATATTTGATGAAAAAATCAGTGGGAAAAAAATCGATATAAATTTAAAAAATCACGATTCAATAAAAAAAAACTTGATTTTTTGATTCATACAAAAGGTTTTTACTGACCTCATGCAATTGTTGGGCGCCTCGCAAGGCATCCCGCCCCGGTGACAAACGACGCTTAGAAGGGCGTCCCTCACCGAATAGGGATCGACGCCGGGCGTCTGCGATTCGCCATCCGGGACCTCAAAGAGGTATTTTCCGGTGGCGTCAGCTAACGCCGCGACGGCTGGATGAGATCGCAGGTGGTGCGAGACGCTTTTTTGGACGCTCCTGGAACGGCGAGAAATCAGGATTTTTTCATATAACAGGGTGTCTGTAAAAGGTCAAATCGTTTTTCCCATATAAATTTAAAATGGCATATGCGATTTTGCTGAAATTTGGTATATTGATAGAGTATTATGTGCAAAAAAATTGTGTTAAAATTTTGTCCGATAATACATAGGCGTAGAACTTGATTTTTTAAATAATTGCACCTTTAAAAATTCTACGCCAATGGAAGAAAAGGAATTTGAGTATGAAATTTAGATTGCGCAACTCATTTACTTTGAAAAAGGTATTCTTGATAAGACTCGATTGCTCTCATGGTTTTGACGAAATATGCATTTCAGTATTTTTAGAACATAAACAATAATTATTAAAATACAAACTTTGTCAAAACCATGAGAGTAAATCGACTGTTATCAAGGGTACTTTTTTGTAGTAAATAAGTACCCAATCCAAATTTCATACTCAAACCCCTTTTCTGCCATTGGCGTAGAATTTTTAAAGATGCAATTATTTTAAATATCAAGTTCTACGCCTATGTATTATTATCGGACAAAATTTTAACACCATTTTTTTGCCACATAAAACTCTATCAATATACCAAATTTCAGCAAAATCGCATATGCCGTTTTAAATTTATAAGGTAAAAACGAATTAAAAATTGTAACTTCAAGACCCTCTGGAGCCAAAACGATGCAACTTTGTACTAAGGTAATTTTACTTAAATCGACTTATTTTGGTCTAGGGAATATGTGGTATGTTTTTGTAAAGACCTTTTACAGACACCCTGAATAATACCACAAGTGATAATATTTTGCCGGAAATATTCGGTGATTGTTACGACAGCTTTTTGCCTTGTAATTTCGTGAATGACATTGTTATCAAAACTACTAGCCGTAGGCGAGTAGTTTTGGATCAATGTCATGAGCTAGTGAATTTTTCTTTTAGGCTCTCTGATAGGAAAATTCTTTGAACGCAGTGACATTTTGTGGCTAATCATCTGATTTGTCCTTACTACACGTATATTGAAATAATATTCATTTCTTTCATTTTATAGAAACGAGGAGAGCAAATCCCAAAATAAAATCTGGAATAATGAGTAGGAACAAATCGGGGAGCGCTCCCCAGGAAACATTCTACTCTATAAGAATGGCGGCCCAGATGTTTTTTTTTATGTTCTGATTCCCATGAAAAGGGATATCCTCTAATGTTCAGAGATCTTCGTGAAAACCAAGAGAAACAAGGTAGGGATTGGTGATCTTCTTGAATTTCTGGTTATATGCCTCGGGGAACACCTCCCTTGGCAATGTGTTCCAGAGCCTCGCTGTTCGTTGGATGAACGAGTCTTTGGCAAGAGATGTTCTGCAGGTCTCCAAAGTGACCACGAAGGGGTGCGAAGCCTCAACTCGACGGGTTAATCTCGCGGGGACTGCCAAAGGAGGAACAATTGTTGATATTTCAGAAGAGCATCGTCTATGAAAATATCTATAAAATAGAGCCAGATCGCCAACTTTTCTACGGTGTTCCAGAGAAGTGAGTGAGTTTGTGAGCGAGGCATCAACCACGAGACGAATTGCCCTTTTTTCGACAGAATCTAACAGTTTCAGGGTATGTCGGATCTGTGCCTTATAGATCACAAGCAGCTGACTGGAAGTGAAATAGCTCCTGGCCCGAAACAGAAAATCAAGTTTTTTGGATGTACTTTTAGCAAATGATCTCACGTGATTTTCCCAAGGAAGATTTTTGCTGATAGTGATACCAAGCATCGAAATGGATGTCTTCAAAGGTATGGTTACTCCTGACAAGCTTATGTTGGCAACAGTGAGATCGGCTTTTCTAGAGAAAAGGCATGCTTGTGTTTTGTTTGCTAACCTTGACAAGTTTTCCGTGACTGGACACCCGCAATCTTTGAAACAGAAACTCATACTTTGGCTTTCGTGAATCGGAATTTTTTCGAGAGTTTCGTGCCGAATCAGGCCGAACAAAAACGACAAGGCCGATTGGAATGTTCGTCGGTATCTCGTGCTGTACACAAGAACTTCATTTGCGTTCAAAGTTGCCAATTTAGCCCAAACGTCAGAGTAGCTTTCCCTGAGGATGTTGCCCAACTTCAATAGTTGAGAAACACCTGAAAAAAAAACACTTATATTACGATTGATTTCACCAATAAAATGGTTCGCAATGTTTTGAAATCGAATCATAGGATTAGACTGACAAATTTCACGTCGATAATTTTCTAATTTTAATATAATGTTATATCTTCTCATTATTGATTCGTCTTTTTTTTCTGCCACAGGAAAAAATAGTTAATTAAAAACGAGAAAAATATTAGATTTTAGGTCACAATTTTTTGTCTCCCTCCGTTACGCGTCGGGAGACAACACAACCTCGGGCTTAAACCAACTACTTTTTTCCCTTGTATAATAAATAGTTATTTATGGCGTATGGGTAACTCGTAATAAGCATTCCTGTATAATTCAGGACATTTATGTTTTAGTTATGATGGTTCACTAGCTGATGTTACAGTTCTCCTGATATTTCTGAGATGCTGAGATGATATGATAGTGAACCCAAAATAAGTCAACTGTGATGAAATAAATTGACAGCAAATAATGGTCTACCCCTACCTATGCCCAATCGTCGAACCTTCAATTCGATATATTACATGATAGGTCTAACTTTCTCCGTTGCTGAGAAATTCTACTTCTTCGACAAGACATCAAACATGACCTCACTAAGAATTAAAAATCGAGCTATTAGGTTGAAACCTACTACGCAGGGTGAATGGAGAATGGTGAACATGAATTTGAAGAGAAATAGAAGATCGGACCAGCAGTTCGCTACTTGCTCAGCCGTTGGAGAAAGAACAACAATCTAAGATTTTTTTCGAGTAAATCGAGGTCGCTGATGACGACTCCGGCTCCGGCTCCGAAACTACTGGATCGATTTGGCTGAAGATTGGTGGGGAGGTAGCTTAGAACCAGGAGAAGGTTATAGAATACTTTTTATCCTTGTACCATTAGGAAATTCAAGATGGCGAATCTAATATATCGAACGGTTTTGTAATCATGGTCCGATTCCATTCAAAATTGCTATCTGAGGGTTCTCAGAGCCGGAGGTTTTATGATTCTTTCGTTAGAATTTGAAAATTCGGGCGGGATTTGGAAATTCAAGATGGCGGAATCAATATGGCGGACGAGTTTTGTAATTATAATCAGATTCTTTTCGAAATTGATACCAGGGGTTATCGTGATCGGAGATTATAGGCGTTTTCGGAAACCTACTCGGGTTGACTCGATCCCTAACCTGCACGTTCGGTAACCTAACCCGAGTAACATACCCATGTTCGGAAACTTCGGTGTTACTTACTCGATCACTAACTCGGGTTCATGTTTCGCAACCCTGCTCCAAAGCAGGGTCAGCCAGAGTTACTACCTTAGATCATACACTTACTACCACAGAACTACTCACGATTCATGTATTTCTAAGGTCACTTCAGATATTATTTATAATAATAATAATAATAATAATAATTTATTCAAAAATTTGGTATCTAGTGATTCTCGGGGTCGGAGATTATGATTCCATTGTCAAAATAAGGAAATTCGAGATGGCGGACCAAATATGGCGGACCAAATATGGCGGACGAGTATTGTAATTATGATCAAAATTGTTATCTGGGTGTTTTCGGGGTCGGAGATTATGATTCTTTTGTCGAAATTTTGAAAGGGCGGGGTTTGGAAATTCAAGACGGTGGAACCATAGATTGTGGAACCAATGTACCGGACGAGTTTTGTAATTATATACCAATTTTATTCAAAATTTGTAAGTGGGCGTTTTCGGGATCAAAAATTATGATTCTTTCATCAAAATTAGGGAATTCAAGATGGTAGATCCAATATTGCGGACGAGTTTTGTAATTCTGTTCTACGAAAGCGCTGAACGGACATGATACTTTTTTTTTATAATTGCCAGTTTGAACTGGCATTTAGCTATAATTGCCAGTTTGAACTGGCAATTAGCCATAATTGCCAGTTTGATCTGGCAATTAGCCATAATTGCCAGTTTGAACTGGCAATTAGCTATAATTGCCAGTTTGATCTGACATTTAGCTATAATTGCCAATTAGCCAAGCACTAAATGCCAGTTCAAACTGGCAATTATAGCTAAATGGCAGTTCAAACTGGCAATTATAGCTAAATGCCAGTTCAAACTGGCAATTATGGCTAATTGCCAGATCAAACTGGTATTTATGGCTAATTGCCAGTCCAAACTGGCAATTATAGCTAAATGCCAGTTCAAACTGGCAATTATAGCTAAATGTCAGATCAAACTGGCAATTATGGCTAATTGCCAGTTCAAACTGGCAATTATAGCTAAATGCCAGTTCAAACTGGCAATTATAGCTAAATGCCAGTTCAAACTGGCAATTATGGCTAATTGCCAGTTCAAACTGGCAATTATGGCTAATTGCCAGATCAAACTGACAATTATAAGAATAAAAGTATCATGTCCGTTCAGCGCTTTCGTACTGTTCCGATTCTATTCGAAATTTTCATCTGGAGTTTTAGGAATCGGATATTATGATTCTTTTGTGAAAATTAGGAAATTCAAGTGAACTAAAAAGAAGTTGAAATAAATGGTAGTTTGAAAAACTAAAGAAACACGCTTTCATAGATAGCAAAACTAAAAAGAAGTAAAAATAAAATAATAATAGTGTTGATTGATGAATATTGAACTGAAAAAATATATTATAGGAATAATGTCTATATACATGTTTTAGGTATAAATTGGAATATTTTGGTTCAACTCTTGAAGCTCACTGACTTTTTTCACAACAATTCCAATTTAGAAACCTATAAATTTCACCTTAGTAAAGATTTTCTTATATGCTGATGAAAATATTATAGGGTGATTCAACTTTCAGTGGGTAACATAGTACATAGTACAATAAAAGGGAGGGAATAAAAGTAAAAGAACTCATAATGGTTTTTCTTTATTTATTAAGAAGCAAAAATGTTTATAGAAATAACTTACCCTGCATGGTGAGTTGACCCAAATGGCATTGGGTGGGATGAGATGGTATGAATGGAAAACCATGAAAAGGACCTTGACCAGCCCATGATAATTTGCCAGTGAGTGATTCATTGTGAAGATATGCCTGTCAAAATACACTAATTATATTCAATGGACCTTTTCTATTGATTACCTATCAACAATAATTATTAGACCTTTGAATATACTAAATAATTGTTTGTGGATATTCATGCCATAAAAAACTTGGTTGCTTTTACCTTATAGTTGGCTAGAAGGTCGGACTTTTCTGCACCCACACCACAGTTGATGGAAGAAATTTTTTTCACATGTTGAAGAGGACCTCTGTCCCCATGTCTAATCAGAATTAATAACCCTTTCAACTGCCACTTATTTTTGTTGAGTATAGCTACAATTATTGCATGTAAATTTGAACAACAACAAAAAATTCAATAAGGTAGGTATGTACCTTCATCCCCAGGAGAAATGTCCTCTGGAAAATTGCATATTTTGAATATTCTTCTAGTTTTTCCATCACTTTCTAGAGTACTATATAACTGAGTGGGTTTCAGTGTAGTATCTAAAATCTTTTGCTGCGGCTCCATAAATTTGTACACTCCGAATATTATCAAAAGAATCCATAAGCTCATCAACAGATAACATTGGATTGCCTTATTTTGCGGCATTCTGAATGAACTGAAATTCATTTGTGCCAGGGGTGGATAACCACTTCTACCTTTTCCAAGTTTCACATTCTACTATTTCTTCACATCTTTGTTATAGTACTTTTTTTTCAATTTGAAAGAATATCACTTTTTGTAATACATAAGGAACTGTTTGTTTACAATTTAACAATTTTCAAAACGTCTATAGGACAGCTGATCTAGCTATCTGCAAAAGTGACATTTCTTTCACGAGCACTTCGCGGCAGTTGTGTTTACTACATTCATCATTCTGGCTTCATAAGGATGGAAAATATCAAGGATAGTAAATTAATATCCTTTCTGCATACCTTTTTGTAAATGACCTAACCTTTCTCGGGGTAAATGAACCCAATTTCCAGAAAATGATATATTTTTCGAATAATTACTTGAAAGAGAAATAACAAGAAATACTTCTTTATCCTTAGATCATTCTCAGAGACTACGTTTCTTAAATGATCTAACCTTACTCGACCTGCATGAAAACCTTCTTTCCAGAAAATATATTCTTCAGAAAATAACTGGAGATTGACTCGAGGAAAAACTTCGAAACCAGTCCACAGGCGTGGCTGAGATGTTTATAATTAATATGGTTTTTGTCCAAGGTTCTTGTTACATATCATTTCAATATATATGTCGCTGTACGAATTATCTTCAAAATGAAAAAAATGACTTAATTATCAGAATTTTATTAGACATTATCAAAAATGAATGAACACCATTTCTGTATATTTTTTGCCGTGATTGTTATTTGGTCCGATGGCCATTGAAAATATGACAATATCAGCGCCTCTCGGCCTCTCACAGATTTGTCTACAAACAAGAACATTATAGGTGTCGTCAGTTTTTTCTTCTTTCTTTCTTTTTTCTTTCAAACAAACATCCCAATTGCCCAGGCGTGGCATTGGCATGTTTACTACTCACGTTGGAAGACTCAATGATAGATGTAGTGGGCGGCAACTGTAGGAAGGCACTCATTTTCCTGTGAGTCTTGTGCACGCCAGTACTAGAAAAGACTGTCAGCTGCTCGCTGCTTTGTGTTCAATTTACAAGTTGTCCCAGAACAACGTACCATAAATTCTACACTAGAGACCAAAATAGAAAAATGCACCGTTGAGCCGTGAGAGGGCGATAAAGAACAATTTTATTTTCAAGTTTTCTTCAGTAATTCGAAATCCTTGACAGGTGTACTGCTCTGAAATTCGTAGGGAAATTTACTATAGTGAATGTGCATGGAAAACATGTCGTACCAATTCAATAAATATACAGGGAGTTAGGTATCTTGCATTCTCTTTAATAAAAATAGATCTACGATAAAAAGTAATGTAACTTTTTTGGAGTACGACACTGACCACATTTTGATATTGAAAAAAGACAACATCTATTATGTCCAATGAACTCAATACAACTGGAAGGGACCCACTGTGAACGACGAGTGAGGCAAAAATATTTGTCAGGCAACCCGCAGTGTTTACGGATACCTATCTCTCTCTATCTTGTGTTGGTTAATGGGAAGCGCTCGCATAATTTGAAATATTTTCTCGTTTTTTGCTTCTATTTGAAAGTAAACGTGATTAAATAAAAATATTCATTTAGGAAAAAGGATAATGTTGTAATCAACTATCATTAAAAAATTATTACTGATTTTTTTATTGACTTTGAAATGAAATTTCAATCTCACTCTCACAGGATCGGAAGTCAAATGAATACAAAATTGAAATTATATATTTTTATTCAAATGTCACAATATATTGTACAGGGTGAGCGAAGCACAATGTCTCAGAACTATCAGAAGGAAAAGAAAAACGATAGGAAAAATTTGAAAAGAGGTTCTTGAATGGTATTGAGTGCATTTTGAGCATAATTTCCATAGGTTCCTATTCCTTCTTCCTTCTTCTGTCATATTTGAAATTTTTAGGTCTCTCCTTATTACGTTTTGTCTCAGTGTCTTCACTTTCCTCCTCAATACAATATATTTTATTGATAAACCCCGAAACTTGGGAGCTAGAAGTGGTAGGCAAGTCAAAGTCAATAAAATGGGAAACTTCTTCCTTTGGACCTAAGTTATGAGCGTCCATAGATGCATCCTGAAAACAAATTACTAGCTAGTTTTTTTTTTATTTTAATGAGGTGAAAACATACTTTTTTTTCATTATTAATCAACTAGAGGTACCTATGAGTTTTCTTATTTTCCTGGGGGAATCAGCATTTTTTGGTAACAAATGCTGAGGAAATAAAAAATATACTGGGTACAGCATCCGCTTTAAAAAACCTAGCTGTACTTGGTATGCCTAAATAATCTGTTGTCAGGAAATGCTCCCCACAAAGCTTGCTGCTTCTATTTGGAGTCCAATTCTCTCTACGAACTGCCTTTATCCATAATTCGAGAATGTCTGGTCTTTTGAATGGAAAGCTGCAACAAATAATATTACTCAATATCAATATGGAAGTATTTACCTTTGACAAATAATATAGGTATAGTTTTTGAACATATTCTGAGACTGGGAACATTGTATACCTAACTGGATGATCATTTCAAGAACTATATTTTTCAAAAATCTGAGAACAATATTCAACTTACCCATGGAATGCCCATTCCCTTTTATTTTGTTCGTTCTTACATCCAAAGGCGACACAATAAATCACCATTGTTTATCAATATTAATCACAAACCTTCTCATTGTAGCTGTGTGAAATTGGCAGCCAAAGATAGCAGCCAAAATCTCCGAACATTGCCGAAGACCCAGTGGCGGACAACATGTTTTTTTTTTCCATGCCTTCGAATACGAAAAACAATATTTTGAGTGAATTTTGAATGTTTTATATAGTTATAAAAAACTGCTGGACAAAATTAACATACCCAATGAAGTAATTGACGATTTGACCATAGAAGCAATCCCTGCAACACCTATCCAGAATAATATACCTATATGAAAAAATCCAACCAAACACACAAAAAAAATATTTTGAGGGTGTAAATAAAAAACTGCTGCGATGACATAGGGTAGGAATCATTCAAACATACCCAAGGAACGATTTGCCTATCGAAAAACTCCCCGCAACCCCTATCAAAAAAAAATATATCATATTCCACCCTACAGATAAAAAATTTTTTTTAGTGTGTAAATGAGAAACTGCTGCGATGACATATGGTTGGAATCATTCAAACAGACCTAAGAAACGATTTGCCTATCGAAAAACTCCCCGCAACCCCTATCGAAAAAAAATATATATCATATTCCACCCTACAGATGAAGAATTTTTTTCAGTGTGTAAATGAAAAACTGCTGCGATGACATATGGTGGGAATCATTCAAACATACTCAAGGAACGATTTGCCTATCGAAAATCTTCCCGCAACCCCTATCGGAAAAAAATATATCATATTCCACCCTACAGAAAAAAAAATTTTTTTAGTGTGTAAATGAAAAACTGCTGCGATGACATATGGTAGGAATCATTCAAACATACTCAAGGAACGATTTGCCTATCGAAAATCTCCCCGCAACCCCTATCGAAAAAAAATGTATTATATTCAACCCCCTGCATGAAAAATTTTTTTTAGTGTGTAAATGAAAAACTGCTGCGATGCCATATGGAAGGAATCATTCAAACACACCCAAGGAACGATTTGCCTATCGAAAAACTCCCCGCAACCCCTATGGAAAAAAAATATATCATATTCCACCCTACAGATAAAAAATATTTTTTAGTGTGTAAATGAAAAACTGCTGCGATGACATATGGTAGGAATCATTCGAACATACTCAAGGAACGATTTGCCTATCGAAAATCTCCCCGCAACCCCTATCGAAAAAAAATATATTATATTCAACCCCCCCTGCATGAAAAATTTTTTTTAGTGTGTAAATGAAAAACTGCTGCGATGCCATATGGTAGGAATCATTCGAACACACCCAAGGAACGATTTGCCTATCGAAAAACTCCCCGCAACCCCTATGGAAAAAAAATATATCATATTCCACCCTACAGATGAAGAATTTTTTTCAGTGTGTAAATGAGAAACTGCTGCGATGACATATGGTTGGAATCATTCAAACAGACCTAAGAAACGATTTGCCTATCGAAAAACTCCCCGCAACCCCTATGGAAAAAAAATATATCATATTCCACCCTACAGATAAAAAATTTTTTTTAGTGTGTAAATGAGAAACTGCTGCGATGACATATGGTTGGAATCATTCAAACATACTCAAGGAACGATTTGCCTATCGAAAATCTCCCCGCAACCCCTATCGAAAAAAAATATATATCATATTCCATCCTACAGATGAAGAATTTTTTTCAGTGTGTAAATGAAAAACTGCTGCGATGACATATGGTGGGAATCATTCAAACATACTCAAGGAACGATTTGCCTATCGAAAATCTCCCCGCAACCCCTATCGAAAAAAAATATATCATATTCCACCCTACAGAAAAAAAATTTTTTTTAGTGTGTAAATGAAAAACTGCTGCGATGACATATGGTAGGAATCATTCAAACATACTCAAGGAACGATTTGCCTATCGAAAATCTCCCCGCAACCCCTATCGAAAAAAAATATATCATATTCCACCCCCTGCATGAAAAATTTTTTTTAATGTGTAAATGAAAAACTGCTGCGATGCCATATGGAAGGAATCATTCAAACACACCCAAGGAACGATTTGCCTATCGAAAAACTCCCCGCAACCCCTATGGAAAAAAAATATATCATATTCCACCCTACAGATAAAAATTTTTTTCAGTGTGTAAATGAAAAACTGCTGCGATGACATATGGTAGGAATCATTCAAACAGACCTAAGAAACGATTTGCCTATCGAAAATCTCCCCGCAACCCCTATCGAAAAAAAATATATCATATTCCACCCTACAGATAAAAATTTTTTTTCAGTGTGTAAATGAAAAACTGCTGCGATGACATATGGTGGGAATCATTCAAACATACTCAAGGAACGATTTGCCTATCGAAAATCTCCCCGCAACCCCTATCGAAAAAA